ACAGGGTGCCCTGGTGGTGCTGGTGGCACTGACCCATGGGACAGTTTGGCCATAGTGGTGTCCCCAGCTCTTGGGGTGTCCCCGGTGGGCAGGGTGCCCTCATGCTGCTGGTGGCACTGCCATATGGGGTGGCTTGGCCATGGTGATGTCCCCAGCACTTCGGGGGTCCCCACAAGGTGCCCAGATGGTGCTCATGGCGCTGCCATATGGCACAGCTTGGCCATGGTGATGTCCCCAGCACTTGGGGTGTCCTTGATGGGCAAGGTGCCCTCATGGTGCTGGTGGCACTGACATATGGGGCAGCTTGGCCATGGTGATGTCCCCAGCACTTGGGGTGTCCCCAACATACAGGGTGCCCTGGTGGTGCTGTGGTGCTGCCATATTGGGTGGCTTGGCCATGGTGATGTCCCCAGCACTTGAGGGGTCCTCGATGGGCAGGGTGCCCTAGTGGTGCTGCTATATGGGACAGCTTGGCCATGGTGACATCCCCAGCACTTGGGGTGTCCCCAACGTACAGGGTGCCCTGGTGGTGCTGGTGGCCCTGCAGCACAGGGTGCCTTGGCCGTGCCAATGTCCCCAACAGTTGAGGTGCTCTAGTGGTGCCCCAGGGGTGCCAATGTCCCCATGGTGCAGGGTGACCCCAACATGCAGGGGTGGCCTCAACACATATGGTGCCCCTCGTGGTGCCACTTCCCATGTCCCCAGAACATGAGGTGCCCCATGGTGGCAGAGTCCCCAAGAGCATGCCCATGTCCCCAGTGTGCAGGGATGTCCCCAACACCCAACACCGAGAGCACCCTCGCAGTGTCCCCAGGCGGTGGCTTCGCCTTGACTTGTCCCCTCGCCCAGGTGACAAGCTGCCCGAGCCCGACGACCCGGTGCGCCTGCTGCCGCTGCTGGTGGTGGGCGGCGTCATCCTGCTGGCCATCGCGGTGCTGGGCGTCCTGGTGGCCCGGCGCAAGCGGGAGCACAGCACCCTCTGGTTCCCCGAGGGCTTCAGCCTCGCCAAGGAGGGCAACAAGGACCGGCGCGAGCCCGTGGGGCAGGACGCGCTGGGCATGAAGTGAGGGGACACCCGGGGGGACGCTGGAGGGCATGGGAGGGTCAACGGCCAGCATAAGGGACATGGGGCTTGGTGGCATCATCACCTTAGGCAAGCATGGGGCATGGTGGCCACCGTGGGCATCATGGGTCTGGTAGGGTTGGCACTGGGCGTGAAGTAAGGGGGGACACTGGAGGGCATGGGAGGGTCAACAGCCAGCATAAGGGACATTGGACTTGGTGGCGTCATCGCCTTGGGCAAGCATGGGTCATGGTGGCCACCATGGGCATGGTGGGCATCATGGGTCTGGTAGGGTTGGCACTGGATATGAAGTGAGGGGACACCCAAGAGGGAAGCTGGAGGGCATGGGAGGGTCAACGGCCAGCATAAGGGACATGGGGCTTGGTGGCATCATCACCTTGGGCAAGCATGGGGCATGGTGGCCACCGTGGGCATCATGGGTCTGGTAGGGTTGGCACTGGGC